GGTCGGTTTTGTTATAATTAAACCTGCCCTCCATTTTCACGTACAAGATGCTTGAGAACAGTAACCAAAGATCTGTCGATGGTTCATTTTACGATTCTAGAACTTTCGGAAGCTTAGTTTATTGTTATTCAGTAAAAAGTTTGCCATTCAATTATGCAAGACTTTGAAATTAAGAGAATCTTAAATTAAAGCTTTCGCAAGTTTTAATGTTAAGAAATCAATGCTGAAACCACAAACATCGAGGAGTATAAAATAAAAATATCTCCCTTCTAAAGTTGAAAAATAAATGTGAAATTTAGCGCGGCTGTGCGCATGCATATCTTCGCCACGGACGACTAGCGGCAGACGTTTCTCGTATCGCGATCAGTCATCGAGATGTGTCTCTTCGTCACCAGCGTAATCCTCGAAGATCAGCTAGACCAACGGATCGAGTTTCACAGCTTTTCAATATGTAATGGGACGTACAAATTATATCGCGCCGTATCCGGCGTGTGAAAGATGGATCACTCTTAGATTTCCGATTTTAGCCATGTAAAGGAGAGCCCAAGGTCACCGCGGCTGTAACGCAAGCAGCTCTTTCACCTTTGGGTTAAGCTTGAAAAATTATACGGCTGAACGAAAAACATTTCGTAACTCTAATTTTTAAATATAAGTTAACGCGTTCGGATAAAACGTAAATTTAAAAGTTAGTCGGAAATTAACTTCTGTACTTTGTATGCTATGCTACGAAATAAAAAGTTCGAGAACGCGGAAAGAAACTTTTTTTACAGAACAATACCAAATTGCTTTATATTGGAAAAAATGTAATCGTGAGAAAAGTTTGAATAAGAGAAGAATTTAACCCATCGACAATGGCACTGGCCCTATAATCACATTATGAATGCGGTACAATACGAGAGAATCCTTCTAAAAAAACCTCGGACCGATCATCATTGCTGAATGCTTACGTTTAGTAAATTAATATTGTTTCTATCTGTTCAATTGTGTGTGGACATTCAGCAATGCACGCTCTCGTGTTTACGATGCGGGAGGAGGACAAACGAAGAATAAAAGAGGAGAAGTGCAGCGGGAGAAGCATAATGTCTGTATCAAGAAAAGATTTTAAAAAGGCAGAAGACGGAAGAGCTTGGAGAAAGAAAAAGGAAACAGGGCGAAAATATTTGAAACCAGAATCTTTTACGGAAGACGGAAACGGAAGATATAAGCTTCTGAGGGAAGGAAGGAAAGCAAAACGAAGGAAAGAAGATGGTAGGATTTGAAACGATGAAACATGAAAAAGTTATTTGAAAATTCAGCTGATCGTTCTGCAACTGTAATATCGTGAATGCCTGAATTATTGTAACTTTCTGGCTCATTAGCTTGCACTTTTGAAAACGTAAGGCTCGAATTTCTTCCATCCTTGGAGGGTTTAGATTTTTTATTCTCAGAAATTCTCAGATTCACGATGTTTACGATCCTGATTGTGTAAGATTCTTTCAAGAATTTTTCCCCTTGCTGATTGTGTGGGACACTGAGCAGCGGATCAGAAATGAAGAGAGAGGGAGAGACAAAAAAAAGGACAAAAACGTATCTGGTCCGGTGTCAGACGCTGACGGATGGGTCCACGAGCTTCCTCAAGGCCTCACGAATCTGCAACAAATCCGTAGTCCTTTCATTTCATTCGTTTCAACTCAACGTAAATACGAGTGCCGAACCATCAGATTTTTCCCCCAATTTCTCTTAACCTCCCATAACATATATTTTATTTCAAATAAGAAAAAACAAAATTAATTATTTCTATAAACTCTTAATTGTTACAATGGTTATATTTTACATTTATAACTTGATATATGAATGCCATCGGATTGACACAAAATTGGAGTATCAAACCTGAAATACTTTTTTAAAAATTTGTTAATAGATCTAGATAATAATTGTGTTTGTTATACTTAAAAAATTAATTATTTTGAAAGTCACTTTTTAGAAAAAATATTCTAACATACGTTTCTGCAATTCTTTTACTTCAGATCTTAAGAAAGCGTAATTATTTTCACTATAAACACTTTTGTTTAGGATCTTGAGATAACTTTGCGATAACTTTTCAGATCGGTAATAAATTGCTCGCGCGAGGAGCGTAAGGCCGTATTTCGAAGATCGGTACAGTATCGAACGGAGCGGAGTCACGATCTTCGGATCGTTTCGCCAGATTGTGCTAGCAGTCCTGTGGGTCCGTTGAAGACATATCGTCTTCTGCCTTATCGACACGAAGTTAGCGCGAATCGAACCTGCGAAAGGCCCCGCGGGCCTGTTTTTCATTCGAGTCCATCTTGTTCACATCGAAACCGGTTTTCTACAGATAGATTTGAATTTCGCTGCAAAGAACGAATCCTCTTTCTCCTCCGGCCGAGAGCTATGCCTTAAATCGATTCACCCGAGAGATATTTAACATTTTCTTATCGCGGACATTTTAGAAATATTATTTCCCTTTTCTTTTTCTCTCTATACGTATTGATGTATCGCAAGAATTACATAATTTTCAGTTACAGAGACAGTCTTAAAAATTTCAAAATTTTTGAAATTATAAAATGGAATCTGTTGTTCATGATTTATCTACTTTTCGCATTAAATTATTGAGGACGAAATATAAAAAGTGTTTCAGATTGTTTGTGTTCCTTTTAATATTTTATTTAATATTTTCTAATTTTGTAAAACTCGAACTCGCAAAAATTATCTTTAATAATTGACTAATTAAAAATATTTCAAATCCGATATTTAAATCATAAAGACCTACTCAATGTCTTGTATCAACTTTAATAAATATATGGTGTTCTGTGTAAATTGCGGAATAAATTATTAATTGTTATTTTAAAGATTCATTTATATTAAATGAGCAATCGCCGACTTTCTTATCCGTTTTCGCAACAGTAACGAAGCGAACAAAGTTAACTTCTCGCATACTCGCCGATAGCGAGCGCATTTGGTGGTAGGGATCCACTCGTAGTGGTCGTCGGCCCCTGTCAGGGCCTTCCTCCCTCCGTGTTGCTACTCGTTGAGGCCTTTCCCCCGTTTACATCACGTTAGGTGGGGAGAAACAGGCTTGCTCGCGCGAGAAGTGGAGGGGGCCAGGCCCCAGACGAGACGATAAGGAACGAGCGAAGGAAGAGGAAGAAGAGAGGAGATGGAGTGAGAAAGTTCTCTCTCTCTCTCTCTCTCTATCTCTCTCACGACGACGATGTTGCATTGTTTACGACGGGGTAAGCCCCGGCCGCGGCACAGCCATGTTGGATTCCTTGCGCGGCAGTAGATCAAAATTATAAGGCGGAACGCGCCTCAGAACGTCCGCCCGGGATCCTCTTGAGTGTGCCACGAAGCCTCTGCCTTCGCTCTCCTCCCTTTTCGTCGCTCCGACGTAAAAGGGAGCAAGGGCGCATCGAGAATGCCACGAAGATCGATCGCTTCGTTTGTCCTCCTCTTTTTCGAGCCGCCCGGCAAACGAGTGCGCGAGCCTTCCTCAGGCTCGTGTCTCTCTTCAGCCGCCCTGGCTGCCTCGCGAGCAGCCATTCATTGGGTAGATAGGTCAGGTGACATGTATCGCGTGTCGCGCTCATCGAGCAGCTCAATGGCTGCTTGTCAGTGGATGAACCAGCTCGCCAGCAACAAGTGACTTGAATGTGGATATAGGAAAGATACCTGTTCTTTAAACAGATGTCCCGAGTTTATGCTGAAAGGGATCGATGGTACACACATGCACGCTTAGAACATTTAAATCAAACCACACGCGCACACGTACGCGCTTACTTAATTGTGTACCACATGTGTTATGTATTAAAACTCTCCGATCTCCTTAAGATCCGCACCGAACTCCCTCAAGTCATGACCGAGACGTTGTTATCTATTACGTAACCCTTTTTTAACCAATAATTAATCAAGAACTTTTTGACAATTATTTGAATTTAAATGCTATAATAGATTACCAATCATTTCTTTCGTACAAATAATTTCTTTGTATTTTATTTATTAATCTTTTACAAGTGTGAACAAATGATAAATATAGCATTTGTAGGGATGTAATTATTTTCAATTCCTCTTGAGTTTCGGCGCTTGTCGTACTTTTTCTGCGGAATTTTGCTGAGCGATTGAAATTAATTCGTTTCAAATTCTACGTTAAATTTTGCTTCACGACGTCCAGTCCCTGTTTGAAGTTTCATCGAGAATATCAACAAGGCGCATAATAAACCGCAGTGAATCGCGGAGGTCGAGAGAGCTGCCTAAGGTGAGTCTAGGGCCGCAGTCATTTTTCCGCAGCCTCGTGCAGAGCGGTCCAGTCGGAGACCAGTCCTCTCCTCCCCCCCCCCTCTCTCTCTCACTCTCTCACATACACACCTCCCTCCATCTCCGTTCGGCAGATATCCTGAACGTGCCCGTGGTGCCTTCCACCTAACTACCTGTGGACTAGGTAAGCTGCGCAGCGCCTACCCGTTGGAGTTACGGCGAAGGCGCTTTAGGAGAAATAAGGCCCAGAAGGTGGGTCTCAGGCAACAATGACGCCCAGTTGAACGCGACGGCTCGGCACTCTTCGTGTGTCGAAAAGTGCACAGTGCTGTTTAACCAAGTTTACGTCCTTGAAAAATGGTGCCTGTATCACTGCGTTAATCCGGACTGACCGATTGACTCTACTCGTGGATCCGTTATCGCGTTAGCTCCGATTATCGCGATATTCTCCAGTGCTGGGAGTTTAATCTGCAACGCATTTATTCGACATTTCTCAAGCGCCTCGAGCTTTGGTGTACAAACCCTTGGGTCGAAACATTGTTTCGCAGTGCGATGTGATGTAAATCTGAGTGTTATCTTAAACCGAAAAATTTCCGGTGGAAGATGTGCGAGTGCGGTGACGAATGCTCCGAGGACACGAAGACGCGGGAAGTCCGAGATGTCCTATCTCGTTAGACCCGCAAAAGCGTTAGATTAGATAGAAAATCTAGAGGGAAATCTTACCGAGGAAAATCCTGGACGAGATTAAGACCCGAATACCTGAAATGGCTACCCTCGGTCTCTCCAAAGTCTTCATATTGGACAAGTATTTTACCGAGCTGCAGAAGTTCTGGGAGACCGAGAAGAAGCTGCAAGGTACAAAGTTGCGAATGCTGTGACAGCATCCTCCAGTTGACTTTTACAATGCATACCATTTTTCCCGAACGCTCTTCTTACTTGAACTTTTGATCCTCAAATTATTAATTTGTTTTATTTGTAAAATTTATCTTCTTATCGGATTGCAACGTTGCACTTTTCACACTTTCACACGATTGTGTTCTAAAATTTATATAATGTTTACGCTTTTATATACATTATTAATTTATACAATACATTATAATTTATATGCATTTATATCGCTATATTGTGTCTCTATTTTGAAATTTATGACTTTTACGCATTGCGAAGTATTCAATCGTCTGTCAGGCGATTTAAAAATTTTAGATTTGCAAATCCCATACTCTAGTTTGAAATCTTTACTCCAGTAATGCGCGCGTACTTGATTTCTATCTTCAGCAATTTCTAAATTTATCAAATCTTAAATCTTTGAATTAGCACTTGTAATTTTCGAGTTCAATCCCGTAATTATTAGTTTCTTGAAATATTGGATAGTATTCTTGAGAAAAGTATTGCTTATTATGTATAATAATATTTAAGTTTTATGTGCATGCAAGTGCATATAAATAATAAGCATAAATAAGTATATAAAAGACCTGATGTAAAACTGGAAAAGCTTTCTCCCGGAAACTGGAAATATTTTAATTCGTCGACTTCCACGGTAATTAAAGTTCCAATTTTTCCATTTTGTGAATTGTAACACTCCCGCTAAATTGACACATTTTTTTATTTAGCAACAAAGTTTTATGGGATAAACCGTTAGATTTTAACTACGTACGCAGTAGGCTCCACAGCACTTAATACGGCCCTGCCATGCTGAAAATGAAGAGTTGCGGTGGTCATTATAAAAGTTGCCTACGCTTTACAGTTAAAGTAATACAATTTCTTCATATCTTCGCGGCTGTTTCTCCTTGATTACCTTCCAGCATTCTTAACTGTATCCAGAGATTAAAATCTCCCATAAAAAATTTACGCAATGCCCGGAATCAGAATTGTGTATAATATCGTGCACATTAAGCTAAACGATTTGTACATCGCCGCTATATACTTTTTAATTTACTTCTGATTTATTGTGACCAATAAAATGTTTAAATATCTATTGTTTTAATTTAAAATCCAATATAATAGTTTTACTAGACTGAGCTTAATAAACTAAATAGCTTAATAAAACTAAATAAAGTTCTTGTCGTATGAATCATTTTAAATAAAGTTTTGAATATTATATATTTAATTTTATTATTCGAATGAATATAAAGTATGTAAAAATATAATATATAATTTAAATATTAATTTTAAAAGTTTTTCATATCTAATTTTATTTATAACATGTGAATCATTTATTAATCTGCAATTAAAGATGTTCTTTTTTTCAAACATCTTGTGTAATAGTTTTATTACTATAGTATTATTATATACAGTTATATTATTGTTATATTTTATTAAATAATTTCTTAGTGTATTTCATTTCTATCCTTTGGGAAACCTTTTCCAAGTCTGAATGGTATGTTCTTTTTATTGCTCCGTGAATGTTTGGTCAATGACGATGTCTCTATTGCAAAAGCATTTGCTAAGTTTTTAGGCTGTGACAGTGTATTAAATACGTTAGGGAAAGTTTTGAAAAAATGGACAGAGCCACAAGATCACAAGATCTAACTTTTTTACTCGATTGTTTCCCAACTCGGAAGCGTCATTATTCTGCAGTCTAAGACGTCCTTACAGCTATTGTTTCATTATAGCGCGTCCTTCACAATTACGGGCTTCTTGAGTAATTAGGTGGAAGGGAGTGAGTAGATGAGATATAATTAAAATACCTTCTACTTCTTTGTCATTATTAACTTCTTCGAGTAAGAAAAATTGTATAAAACTGATAAATAATTTAACTGTATACACTGTGTATAAAACGGTTACACTTATTAATATCGTCTCGCATTTTTGTTCAGATAAATTTATGTGAATTAACAAAATCATTTTATTCACTTATTTTTTTAATTAAAAAATTTAAAAACCATTAATTCTTTTGCGAATTATTATGTCTGTGAATAAATGCGCGAACGTTATAAAGTGAAAAAAAAAGAACAAGTACTTTTTGTCGGCAATAACGAAGAAAAGATCTTTCCTTACTGGGATTTATACAGGGCAATGGCCTAAACTGGTGCATCCAGCTGCAACTGCTCCCATGTGTTGCAAGCGCACGTGTGCGTGAAAAGTGCACGAAAGTGACAAGCACTCGGATAGATCAAAACGTGTTGCATATAAGCATTTCTGAGTATTTATTAAGGACTTTATTAAGGAATCAAAGTAACACGGATGCAGTAATTAACTAACAGATTCACTTCTAATGTTCTTTTTTAACGTGTCTGTAAAATTTGTATCGTAAAATACATTACAGCAAAGGGAAAATTTTAAATCCACCAGGCACGTTGTAACTTAAATAAAGATCACTTTTTGCCAGTCGACTTAAAATTGTCCCTTTGTTTAATTACCACTGGCGACAATAAGCTTTAATCAATTTTGTAAAATATGTTATACAATGAGTATATTAGAAAATTCTTTATAGAATGTTTTAAAGTGAAAAATCCCACAGATCTTGTTGCATATAAATAATTTACATACGTGAAAATCGAATATATACACAAGACACTAATGAAATATTTATTACTCGATAGAATCTATCAGTAAAGAGATTAAATGTACGAATCAGATACACCCTGCGTACGTAAGTACAATTTATGTATATCCCAGATAGGACTTGTTGTTTTGATAATGCTCAAGATCGTTACGTTTATTGCCACTTCGTGGAGTTGCATTTGCAAAGTTCCGCGGCGAATTGGCATCGTGGGAAATTACCATTTTATCGAGACTCGACACATGGATTTGACAGTCGCTTATTTATTCCGCATATCCTATAACATCCTTTCATTCTGTGGAAACGCTATTTTGAAAACCTTTTGTACTTTCCAATAATCTTCGCTCGTCCCCCACAATGCTTGAGACTGTAATTTATATTGATGCGCTTTGGTGCAGCCAAACTGGGTCCTTGCAAAAATAATCCTAAATGATTACTGTATTGTAAATTACCAATATATATGTATTTTTTATTTAATTTATATTTGACCCGCAACATAATATCACAAATGGTAGATAAAATGTAAAAACTATTTAAAAATTTGTTCCGTATGAAACAATCTTTAATGTGCTGGGAAAAACAGGCCAGATGAAATAACATAGATTTTCATATTTAATTCAATTAAAACTTCACAGTGAAAATAACAGCGAATTATTGCGTGAATTTTCTGGAAAAAATGTCCATCGGGCCAATTTGTAAATGGATCACGCGTTAAGATAAGCCTCCGCGTCTAATTACGAATTAAGTTTCGACATACGTGCGGGCGTCGCCATTAATTTCACCGCGATTCGGTAATCTGCGCGTACAAGAGAGGAATGCAGAATACCTGCCGCGATTAATTCACCCCTTTCGTTATCTCTTTGCCTGTGCCAAAGTATAACTGTGTACTTAAGGTAATACTTGCTTCATTTTATCCTCTTTTTATCCCGTCCCTATTCCTTTATATTTCCAAGCCCTTATTTTCCAGTTTTTTTTTAAAGCTACTTTTGTACTTTGGAATCCGGACCAGATTCCAAACGGTGCATTACCGTATGGTTATCTATGCGCCTGTTATTTTTATCTCATAAATCTTCATAGCCATAAAGTTCTTTTATCCAATTTATTTATGAATTTCATCTAATTTTAGTTATTTACTATTATACATCATTTAAGTTTGCGTACACAATTTATATTAAAAGAATAATGTTTCTATGAAAAAGATTATAAAAATTTAAATTAATGTCTCCACGAAGAGAAATACTGTTTTCTATTATTTACAAAAAAAAAGATATTAAAATTTAAAAATTCTATAATATTTCTAATAATTCTATAATACATTTTTAAATAAAAATTGACATTCCCTCCCCTCTCTCTCTCTCTCTCTCTCTCTCTCTCTCTCTCCTCTTCCTCTATCCCTCCCTTCCTTCCTTCCTCCCTCTCTGTCTTTGTATATATGTTTCAAATTTATAAATCTTGAGATTATACATAAAACTAAATATTGAATTCTTGAAATGATAAAACAGAAATTAATTCCTAGATTTAATTTCGTGTTTATGTGTGTGTTCAAATAATACACGTGCGTCAAAATTAATAATAAAATTTGTCGCTATCAAACGTGCAGGGAAATTATATAATAATATCAAAATAATTTATATAGATTATGGATATTACAATACACGTGAATAATTACAATGGTAATTTATATCATAAACATATAACATGCGTCATTTATATATAAACGTAACATAATCTTGATAATAATAATAGTCTGTTTTCTGAAACACGAATACAGAAATCGAATTCGGCAATTGAAAGGCTCGTAGATTCAATCCAAGGAAGTAAATTCGAAGGGAATCACGACTCCGTAGAGACAGAGAAAGAAAGATAAATTAATATCGGAGGAAGGTCAGCAATGAGTCCATGAAACATTAGTTGAAAGAGTTAGGGCGAACCGAGTGTAGGCGGTGCCGTGAAAAAGATACGACTAAAAAGAACCTGTTTTCTTCACGAAGGAGCGTTCAGCTTCCGAAGGTACCTGCGCAGTTTAATCCCCGCGGAGTAGGACCTGTCTGGTTACAAGGTGCCTGGAAAGTCAGGAAAATTAAGTTTTTGTTGTTCTTATTCCGTTCCTGTCATTGTTTACCATTATTCGTTGCTATTATTATTTATAGTGGCGATACACGCGCGTGTGCGCGCGTGCCTAAAAAAAGATTTCATTCTTTAGAGATATTTTAAAACATATTTCATCGAAACGATGAAAACTTTTAGCTCCCATAACCGTGTTTATCGTTTGCTTTCCTATAAAAACAATTTATCGTGCCACTGGCTAGTTTTTCCAACTATCGATACATATAGCACGAGGCTCTTTGTTTATTATAATTTATGATAGCGTGTATTCTCGTGGCCATAATGGCTGCCTGTGAATCAATGCGTATGGTTGTTCCACGTGGCTCAACATCGATGAGCACTATTGTAATCCACAAAGGCTTCGGATACTGAAATGATCTCGCATTGAATCGACTCTCTCGCAAGAACAGAGCATAAATAAAGCGGCGCACGCGTTAAACAACTTACTTCGCGGTTCCAGAAAACCGGTTATGTAACTAATCTCGTATCCGGAAGTTGGAACAACGAGACCAGTTCCCGGTGCGAACCGAGCACCGGGTATCCCGTGTCATCCGGTTGAAAGAACTTAGTATCTGTCCAAAGAAAGGAGGAAAACGCGTCCTAATAGAACACTCCGATCCAAGAAACACTTTCGATCGCACTTGGAATCAATCATCAAGTAGAATCGTCGATCGTCAAATAGAAGATCGCTGTTAAAGTGAAAATACGATTTCAGATCATCGATTTCGCGGCAGCTTGGCTGACCCGCTGATCTGTATTGTCTATAACATCGGTTCTATGCGGAGCAATCAATTAATTAATTTACGTTTGTGACGTGAAAGGTCGATTAATTTTTACCGGAAACGTTTTTAAGTATCGATATTGTAAATCGTTTAAGATAGATTTTAATTAGAATAAAACAAAATTTAAAGAAGCTGAGAATAGACGTGACTTGATGAATTAACAACTCCAATTAGTTTTATCGTAGACTGAAAGAAGGCAGGATCTGTGTTAAAGCATAAATCCTCTGTCACGTTACAGATAAAACGTAATTATAAACTATCAGATTATAACTAGTCATTTTATATGATAATTAATTGATAAGTAATGAATACGATTTTTCTAACTAAATTATTAATAGACGTAAATTACTGCCATTGTTATTACAGCGTCTACCATTGTACACAAAATTAGAAATACATTTGTGTATATTATATTTCCGTATTCACGTAACAATAAGTTTCTAGATTCATTAACTGCACCATTACCCTTGTAGAGGTTGGTGGAACTAGTTCATGGCTTTATAAATAATTCCATTTCACTGTTCATGGCTTTATAAATTATTCCACTTCCCTGTTCATGGTTTTATACATTATTCCATTTTCCTACAACGTAGGCGATTGAAAATGAGAGATCGAGGACATTTTTCCATATATTTTACAATCTCTGTTTTTGTGTAAGAATGAATTAAAAAAAATTTATTTAAATTGCCTACATACATAATTAATTTGCGCGTGCTTGATTTATTTCGAATAAAAACTTCCATCTTTCCAAGAAGTTGAGGTATCCTCGACAAAAGTTCTTGTCGAGACAATACCTTGGCGAGGTCGTATTCAACGACCATAACACGCCGGTCAGTCGCATGGTACGTGACTACACAATCGACTGCAACAGCGCTCGGCCTCTCTTAGGCGACGGAGAGAAATCTCGGAGTCCATCGAGAGCGCAGCCTCCTCCATTTCAACTTATCCGCTATTGTATCTTAGATTAACGGTACCCGAAGAACTCTGGACGACTTGAGAGAACGCGCACACGCGTGACGGATAAGAACGATAATAAGAAATAAACGTTGCGAACGAGAACATTGAAACGAGATCAAAAAGATATATTACCAGAGTATATAGGTATCTTGTTATTTTCCCATATCTGATTACGTAATTCTCGGAAAATTCTTCCCTTTATCACTAACTCAGAAAGTTTTCTAAAATATATTATTAAACAAGAAACTCAAGTGAGTAGAAGTAAGTTGCAATTAAGTGAGTTTCACTAAATTACAACACTTCCAAATTAATATAAATTATCAGAGGAAAACCATCAATCACGATTCTAGCAACTGTGAAGCTCTTAGATATCTCAAATGCAAAGCATATCGTTGTAATAAACTTTTATTTTTAGAATTGTAGATCGCGTTCGAATTATTAAGAGAGGGGGGGGGAGGGGGGAGGAGCAGCAATACCATAAAGAACCATCGCATTCAGCTGCATTGGTATCGTCGCGCCTGAAAGAAGTTTTCTGTTTGGTTTTCTCGAAGATGCTTCCTCGTCGAACGAAGCGGTGCACCTACAGCAGCGTCTGCGGAGCCTCAGCACGGAACTGGTGACCCTGAGGAACCGGCTGCACGTAAGCCAACCGGCGAACGCGTCAGGGCCGACGGGCGGCACCACCGGACCCCTATCGAAGAGCCCGGAAAAAGGTGGCGGACCCGCGTCGCCCGCACCCGCAGTACCCCCGAGGACCACCCTGCCGCCCGGCGGCACAATACCTCATGGAATCGGCCATCCCGCTGGTCACACATTGACAGCTTCTGTGATTGTTCATCCGCATGTCAATCATGCTGGTGCGAACACGCTTAACCATAACTCAACCGCAACAAATAATTTAATATCTGGTTAGTGCACAGACCTCTGTTCCACACCGTAACCCGGTATTAGGGTTTTATGGACAACGATCCGTTATAGATCCCTATTGTATGAACATTTTCATTAGTTAATAGAATCCCGTCGTAATTTGACGATAACAAATAGTCCCCGTCGCTTAACTGTAACGCTCCAAAATGTGCTTATTATTCTGCCGCGTTGAAAGGGTCCGTTAGCTCAAATCAGCAAACGAATTTTATAGTAAATAAATGAAAATACTGTACTACAATTAATAGCTCTTCATTGTGTTATTGTAGTAATTAGTAGAAAATTGACATGTCCCGAATTTTCCGACGTGCTCAGACCTAGAGCCTTCGAAGCGTCACAACGGAGTGCCTGACGATGGAATAGTATCCTGCGTGACGGCGTTAGGGTGCCTTCGGTCGCCGCCGATCTCCAGCATCATCGCCGACGTGAAAAACGCCAAAAGTAATCAAAGCCAGCATCGATGTCTCTCGAAAGCCACTGCGTCTTCGCCCGGCCCTGCGACTTCCACGGCCTTCGATGACCTCATTCATCTACCTTGTCCTCTTACAGAAGATGCGGTACTTAAATGTCTTCAAGCCCGCTTCTGCGTCAATCAGTATCACGTAAGATCAATGCTTTCGCTAAAACTAGATAGGTGTAGATCGATAGCTCAAAATTTGTAAGGTTTTCGAAAACTACGGAAGTTAAGAAATAAGATACACGTTAAATAGATTGTTACGTTAAAAATAAGTTGTACTCGTACTTTGTTGTATGTCGGTTGTATTGACTATCTTTGGATAAAATAAGTTTACTTATTGCTAGACAAATACAAGATTAAAGGAAATTTGCGCAAAAAGTAAAAATCGGCTTCTGCACACGCGTTACAGCCAAGTTTGTAATTTATATAACTTTACAAATTACATAGTTTGATGACATAAAAGTTACATTCAATGCAGAAATTCGAGTATAACGCGAACGCGGTACACGGCCAGGAGTAATAGAGGATTTTCCTATTCCTCAATTTTGGAATCTAAATGTTTAATGGTTCACTTTCAAAAATCGATCGTGCGCGAATCACGTATGTACGCACGTGTGCGCGTGTGCACACACGGACTGCGTGATTGTGCCAGAGTGGAATGCAAAGAGGCGGTCTCGAATCATATTCGTAAGTACCGGGAGCGTTGCGTCGGTGTTGGTGCTCGCAATAACGCAACACACTGGCCCGGCCGGTGCACCGCCATTAAGAATTCACCCTGTCTCCCGACTGGTTCGTGCATGCCACCCCGCCGCAAGAAACCCACGCACAGGTGGCACGCACGCTCGCATTCCGATGATGCGATCGGTCAGACCGGCTTTAATTTTCATATTTCCCCTACTAAGTTGCATGATTGATCCGACTTCTCGTCAACCACAATTTCCTGCAATCGTCGCTCACATTATTTATGAAATGTTTTCAATTTTAAGGCTTAAAGAACGCTCGCGTTAATATTTCAAGGAAGTTAAATACGTACGCGAAAGTGCAAATGTACTGACTTAGCGAAGCTCATTAATCAATGGATATAAACTTTACGTACTATTTATTCATTAATTTATTAATTGAAATTTAGTCAAGTTTAGGTACTCAGTTTCTCCAGTAAATGAACTTTCACGCGCGTGCGCGCGCGCTATACCACGATATCTCGTCTCATATATCGTTCATCGTGATGAACGATTCTTCGTACAGCAGGCCATTGACTTTTTATACGAAACGCTCGGTTTCTTTGAGACTGTTCCTCGTTTAGGCGGTTTATTGAAAAACTCTTGATTTCTCCCTAGGTTTCTCAGGCAGGAGAGGATCTTTTTTCTCGTCGATTGCGGTTAATTCGATACCTTATTCAATTGCAAAAAGCAAGTTGATTATATACTTGCGTAAATTCTTTATGTAATTTATCAAACTTGACCTTCAACATTTATATATATATATATAGAACGTAGAAAATTTCTTAATCAACATTTTCAATCAATTAAAAACTAAATACATAAATGTATCAAATTATTGGGAGAAAGTAAATTTCTTCGAGTTACAAACAATAAACTGAAAAGTGGTTGGTAAATCGATCGTTACGATTATTCATGACATATTAATCCATTACAAAATGAAAAATTAAAAAAGGAATAAGGAAAACTTTACTATTGCGGGATTCAAACGTAAAATTTTCTACGAGTTACAGCTGCTGCCTCGTGTAGTTTTTTCTACAAAGTTGTTTCTAAATCTTACTCTTCAAAAGACTAGAAATCTGGAAAGAGGTTATCGAATATCTTGTTTCTTCAAAGATGAATGCATTTTAATGCACATATTAAAAATAATAATGGTTTTAGAAAAATAAACAATAATGAATGACATAAGAGAACCATTCAAGGAAAAATGGAAATTTATTCCAGACGAATGTGGGCCCCATATTGGTTTGCGTAAATCCTTACACAGACGTTGGAAATCCGTTAACCTTAACGAGCACCAGGTCGGTACCATTGGCACCTCAGCTGAACAAGGTCGTCCAGGAGGCCGTAAGACAACAGTCGGAGACTGGGTATCCTCAGGCGATTATTCTTTCTGGTAAGACTCTTAACAAACTCCATCTCCTTTCGTTTTTCAAGAGTGAAGATTTCTGGAACTTCTTCTATAGGGACAAGCGGTTCCGGAAAAACGTACGCTTCAATGCTATTACTTAGGCAACTCTTCGACGTCGCCGGCGGCGGACCGGAAACGGACGCTTTCAAACATCTAGCGGCAGCCTTCACGGTCCTGAGATCCTTGGGCTCAGCGAAAACCGCCACAAACTCGGAGAGTTCAAGGATAGTAAGTAGTTTGCGAAATGTATGAGATAGCAGAAGGTAGAAGGAAGGAGGGAGATGAAAGAGAAATATATTAGATTATGAAAAGAAAGTTTATGGGCGTAGTAATAGTAAAATTAAAAGCCTTGCTAACAACATCTATAACAGTACCATGATACGAAGCAGCATATGTAATAATAATAGCAAGAAACGATATTATTTAGTAATAATTTGTGATATGGACCTTACAACAATTTTATTATACCTTCAGGGTCACTTCATCGAGGTTCAAGTGACTGATGGTGCTTTATATAGAACAAAAATTCACTGTTACTTCCTAGACCAGACACGAGTGATCAGACCGTTGTCAGACGAGAAGAACTATCACATATTTTATCAGATGTTAGCTGGATTGTCTCATGACGAGAGAGGTAATGTAATTAATTGCAACTTTATAAGCACATTAAAAATGGAATTGACATGCTCGTTATGTGAAAATCGTAATAGAACAAAGACCAAAAATAACAACAACGAGCACTTTGCGAACATTTCGGCAATGCTACGGCCGTCACCAGCGTAAATAATTAAAAACGCAACATTAATAGAAAAAGGACATAAATTAAGGATCTAAAATAAGAAATGATTAATAGCAATTTATTATTAAGGAATAAATTATCCTAACAATTTTCACAGTTAAATTAAACTTGGAGGGGTACAATCTCAAAAATTTGAGGTATCTTCAGCACGGCGATACGCGACAAGACGAGGCTGAGGATGCAACTCGGTTTCAAGCGTGGAAAGCTTGTTTAGGTACGTGACTAAATATTGAGAAAGATAACATAATAACATTCCAATGACGTTCAATAAATTAGCGGGCACTTGTGATACAATTAAATTAACCATGCAATGCCTCACTTCCCATCCTCTTCGTTTCTACCATCGATTCAACTTTTTGCAAAGAAGAGTTATCGGGCCTTCTTCGATATTGTATCACTTATTTTTTTTTCTCAGGCGTTTTAGGCATTCCATTCTTGGACGTTGTAAGAGTGCTAGCAGCGGTGCTCATCCTCGGGAACGTCGGTTTCACAGATGGCCCTGGTGTAGAAGTAGGAGTAATTGGCGAGAACGAATTATCCTCCGTAGCTACACTCCTGGGAGTCTCTCCGCCAGCCTTGTTACGGGGGCTCACCTCGAGGACTCACAATGCGCGCGGCCAGCTCGTTAAATCCGTCTGCGATGCCAACATGGTAGTGTATCGGACTTTCTTTATGGGATGAAACAGTGATGAGTAACGTTCCGTCTTGTTGCGAATTAACATTCGCAGTACGGGAGGGTCTTCGAACTTCAAGTCCCTTAACATGTCGCAAATTTTGACTCCTGCGATACCAAACGTTTGGATTTTTCAACTATGGAGACTCTTAATCCTTTCACGAGTAAAATAATCCTGCCGCAAAAATTATCGATCTCGTACTTTTCGGACACTAAATTCTCCGTGAATGGTAAATATTGTGATAATGTTTACCGGATAAAAACCAGATGAGATTAGATAAATATTTACCATACATTTTTACGTGTTTATTGAGGTATTATTTAGCAAAATGTCAAATAAAAATTTTTTTATGATATACATTTTCTCTGTATTACAAGTTTATTTTCGATTGGATAATAAAAGGATCAAATGTGCGAACGGACTGCTCAGCACTGTGATGAAACATTATTTTATAACAATGAAAATACATTAACAAATTATCTGTTTATACAGTCTAACATGACCAGGGATTCGCTGGCGAAGGCGCTTTATTGCCGTACTGTAGCCACGATAGTGAGACGAGCCAACAGCTTGAAAAGACTTGGTTCGACTCTCGGCACCCTTTCGTCGGACTCCAATGAATCTGTTCATAATCAAGCGGATGTTACTAGCCAACACGCCTCTACTATTGGCAGCTCAGCAGGTCTTTATTACAACAATATTACAGCTTCAATCTTACTTTCATTGTAATTCAATGATCGAGAACTAATATTGTACAATTATGCAATCTTGTTGCTGTTACTAAATAAAACGAAATAATTGTTATTAGAATTAAGCAATTAATTGGAACAGTTAATATTTGAAAGGCTTAGACTTGTTTAGATACGATAGACCGTTCTCAATACTTGGACACCGTTTTAGAATCACGGCATAAATTTCTTCCATCTTAATGCGATACAAAAGATTAAGTGCGAGATTTTTCACAGGGGGGACAGGATCCAGAAGCATGACTGCTCTGAATAACGCCGTGCGACACGCCACGGACGGCTTCATCGGCATCCTGGACATGTTCGGGTTTGAGGATCCTAAGCCGAGCCAGCTAGAGCACCTCTGCATCAATCTTTGCGCGGAGACGATGCAGCACTTCTACAACACTCACATATTCAAGAGCTCCATCGAGAGTTGCCGCGACGAAGGCATCCGGTGCGACGTCGAAGTTGACTATGTCGACAACGTGCCATGCATTGATCTCATTTCTTCCTTGGTAAGCTCTTTGTATCGAAGACAACGACCCGGCAATCGTTGCTTATTTAAACACCTCGCGTCAAGTAAATTTGTTAACTAATATATAAACAATTATTTTCTCTTTAGCTTTCCGGATAATTTTTCGATTATTGCGTTTATACGGAACGTAATTAACGTTGGTAAATCACGGCGAGAGGGAACGTCAAGTGTTGTAAAATTCTTATATTTTAATACATAAAAATATGCTGATATTGAAGTACAAAAATCGCTTCTCTTTACTTCAGCTCTTAAATTCCCCCACAATTAAAGGCGCGATTGTTTCATGCATTTATTTCATGTTAATTAAGTTTGTTTACTTTAATTTCCAGCGTACCGGATTACTAAGTATGTTAGATGTAGAAGGCTCTATACACGGGACCGCAGAAAGTTACGTTGCCAAAGTGAAGGTGCAGCACAAGCAGAATCCTCGATTGTTCGAACCAAGGACCGTCGATTGTAGATCCTTCGGTATTCAGCACTTCGCGGGAAGAGTCACCTACGACACTTCAGACTTCTTGGGTAGATAGGACTTCTCTCTTATTGCGTTTCATAATGGTTCGGGGAAATTATAAGATCTATGTAAATATTTTATTAATTATTAGAATAATATTATGGCAACGCTCAGCAATTTATACGCGATGTACCATTGACGTATGTATACAAATTTCAACGGGTAAGCTCTTCCTTGCAATCACCAATTCGATCCACTCCATTTTTAAAGACACGAACAAGGATGTTGTCCCCGATGACCTGGTGGCGGTTTTCTACAAGCACACTTGCAGTTTCGGCTTCGCTACCCACTTGTTTGGCAGTGAGTTGAAGGCACTGTACGCGAGCGATACTGTGCCGAGGGGCGTCAGCTTCCGAATATCGCCAACTTCTCACACCGATCTGTAAGTAACCAACGACTAAAATACCATAAAAATTGACGTGCATTTAGCTCCGATAAATATTAATGCTTAGACATGTCCATCGAAGAAATCCTTTCTCTCGCGTTTGACTTCACATAATTCCCTTTCTCCCGTTTTCTACAAAAATTTGGATCACTCACGTAACTAATCGAAACATCTTCATTGGTGAAAGACTTGGAACGCGCGCAAATAATTTCTGCGTGTGATAATTATTTAAGTGGCGGCCCAGCGCTCGTATCGATAATTGATCGAATCAGAAGTCGATTGTGCAATTTAAAAGAGGACACATGCAAAAAAGGGAGTAAACGTTTTTCCCCGCAGTTTAAACGGAGACGAGCCAATATCGACGTTGACACAGGACTTTCATACGAGGTTAGATAATCTCTTGAGGACCCTTGTCCACGCTAGACCGCACTTCGTCAGATGCATCCGTAGCAATAACACCGAGACGCCGATGCACCTCGACAGGGGAGTTACGATGCGCCAGATACGCTCGTTGCAGGTCCTGGAAACAGTGAACCTCATGGCGGGAGGTAAGATAGCAGAATTTTATTCCAATTATTTCAAGAAATATTGATTTACTCGCGCAATAATGAATCTTTGGTCACAAGAAATAAATCGACGTTCAGAGACACGTTCTATACAATTGCAAATGTGTAGAGCAGCTCTATTCGATTGAAATTAATTAACGATAAGAATTTGGAGCTAACATTTATGACGGCTCGTGCAGGATACCCGCACAGGATGCGATTTAAAGCCTTCAATGCAAGATACAGGCTGATCGCGCCCTTCAAACAACTGCGTCGCGCAGAGGAGCAGGCAGTCGAGGACACGAAATTGATTTTGCAAAATGCGCAGCAGCTAAAGAGCAAGTTTGGCGCCAGTACTAGTTGGGCTGTCGGCAAGCGGCATATTTTTCTCAGCGAGGGCATCAGGCAGCAGCTTGAAAACCTGCGGGCGGAAACGCGAAGAAAAGCTGCTACAGCAATACAGGCAGGCATATTTATCTCTTTCAATTTCGTTAGTTTTTCTAAAACATTTTCTTTCATGATTCAAACCGTCTATCAGATATTTCATAAAAAGAATCGTTCAAGAACTTTTATTCGATAACAAATTTAATTAGAAGGAAGAAGGGAACTCCGAAATTAAATTTGTTTAAATTTTTGCTTCCAGTCCACGTGGAGAGGGTGGCACGTACGAAAAAGATGGCCTTTGAGAAGAACAACCCTAGGAGTAACATCTGGCATTGGTCAGAAGAAACCTCAACAACCTCCTACCGGAACCAATACCGGAACCGTTCAGAGGAATGTCACTGCTGCTACAGGAACTGGCACTGGCACTCGTCCAAGACCGCAACCAATCGCTGGCACACCTCCTCCCGATCCTTCGGAGAAATGCGCCGATCAGAAGATGATCCAACAAACTTGTACACTTTTTGGATTGGACTTGGTAAGCATCTGAATAACTCATTCCTTTGCGAGACGAAAAACTTTAGAGTTTAAAGTATGAGAACAAACATATAATAAAAAAAAACAAGTGTAAGAGATTAATATGTAATTGAGGCAAGGATACAGATCGTATACATATTTTTGTGTATCCCCCCCATTTTCTGCTTCAGTTTCATATTTTTGAATCTAGACGTTGTATAAAATAATGAAGCGTTTAATACTTTAGAATTTCAGTTAAAATCGCAAATTTTGCGCAAATTTATCGCAAAATGTTGCAAGAGAAAACTTCCTAACTTAATATAATCCTTCTTTTATCATACAGGAGCGGCCGCCACCTGTCCCTCCTAGTAGATCCTATACCGTGACCGGAAACACAAAACTTGGTTACCCGCAAACCAGGATTATGAAAATGCCCTTTCCAGGTAGGAAATGTCATTTAAAATAATTTTTGGCTGGCAAAGTATTAAAACAAAAATTACATAAACGTAATAGTTTACGTGGGTGATAATTATTTATTTATAATTATATGTATATAATATATCCATATATTTTTGTTTTGTCTGTTTGTAATTGCAAAAAAATATAAAAAGAATTGAAAGGGATAACTTGCACTTTGTTTTGTTTTACAAAAAGTTGAAAAAATAAAAGATTTAAACGCAATTTTATTTTTCTGTAGAAAAAATAATGCATTATTGCTCGACTTTTCAATTATTCTTTTTGTTGTTTTCTTTATACTATAAACTGAGATCCTACAAAAAGAGAAAATATATATCAATATATGATCAAAAATAAAATAAAATTTTTTTCTTAATTTACAACTAAAGAATAGCTATGTTTATAAATATATTATTAATACTAAATCACTTCTGAGACATTTAATATTTAATATCTGAAATTATGTAACTAATAATGACGTAATAATAGTTCAACGAATGTTTTTCTATGTAATAATTTATTGAATAATTTTCAGAAGAGGGCGAGAATAAAGCAGTCCTGGTGAAAGGAGAGACAGTTTTAGTCGTAGGTGCGTCACCCCATCGAGGCCATCTTGTTGTAGAGCACAATAGTACTAGTTTACATGTGCCGTATCAATTTATGGAATTGAAACCTTGTAATATTAATGTTTAATGATTCTCACGATACTATTTATTTGACTCCACTTTTAAAGACTTGAGAAACGACTATTTATAATATTAATTTCAATCGCGCAAAATTTCGGGAAATCAATATATTCGAGTTTTCTTCATAAACGTATTTGTGTTAAAATAATCGCAAAAGTAAAAATTATAATTTGACGCCTCTAATACAAATGAACCTCTTATATTATTCTAAATTGATTAAACCTCTATAAACTAATCTAATTTTAGAGCAAAACGTGCAGATAGTAGACATGTATAATTTATATACGTATCAATCAACTTACTCCTAAATTAAAAGAGCTTAAAAGATGAAGCTTTTTTCAAAACTAAATATTTCATTTAAAAAGTGTTATTTTACCTCATTACTAATCAAGAACCACAAAAATGATGATTTTTCGCAAATGGGTTCATCAGCCTTTCTTAGAAAGAATCAATTTGGCCATAGAGGATCTTTATATCTTTTAAGAGCTCGTCGATTGTACTCTTTCCATGCGAGTTTGCCTGATCTCGATCATCGCTGTCGTCTCCCGTCTGCCAATTAATTGCCATAAGATCATCTCAGAGTACGCCGGCAAAAGTTAGGGTAGGTGATTAGTATTAAGAGAGAGCCGGCGGCATCACTCGCGGTGGAGTCAGCTCTAAAGGACAGTGAACTTCGTCCTCTAATTAATTACACCTCCTGTTAAACGAGCTTAACGCGGAAGTCACAGCGGCCGTGCTTATCGCTCATTTCAGACACGGCATACTGACTTACCCTAAGCTGTTCGTCTTCCATGTAGATAAGATTCTCGCGAAGAAGTCTAAGGTGCCTGATAAGAAAAGTGTAAGCCAAAAATGCAAGAATAATAAGTTAAAGTCAAACGAAATAATACATGTTTTCGAGTTGATTATGATTTACATCGAAAATTGTGTGCAAGATTGACAGAGGATCGGCCTAATTGGACGTTAAGTTAACACTGTTTAATAAATTATTGTATATTTATTAAAATTACAATTGCAAATCCAATTCTTTTAATAAATTGGCAGCTAATTTGCAGTATCATATATATATTTGTATGTTACTAATATATATTCGCATGTTATTAACAATATTCCAAATGGTTAATAAATATATTTAATTTCTCTTTTATATTTTGTTAAAAATTTTATTTAAAATAACCAAAATATGTATGGCTTGCAGCTATTTTTATCAAGTACTGTACAGCCTTATATGTAGAAGTATTTTCGAAAATAATGAATATGTATACTTGCAGCAGGTTACGGATTATTCAGGTAACTTGTATAAATATATAGAATATGGACATTTTTCCCCTTTCCTTCCCCTCTCTCTCTCTCTCTCTCTCTCTCTCTCTCCCCCTTCCTCCCTTCCTCCCTTCTCTCCCTCTTTCATACATATATTAAAAAAGAGAATATATGATTTTATTGAAATATCTCTTACCAACAGTATTTGTTTTAAATTTTTAGTAGATCAACTAGAGAACACTGCCACGATAATATATCTGTATTGTAAGATTTATGCTAGTTGAAAAATAATTATAGTTACGATATTAAATCTGGTACTGTCACCACAGAAAGATCCATTCTGTATATACACGATTCTCTTTCATTTGTTGATTCCAGGATGAACCCAGAAATCAAGGAGTTAATTACAAATTTACATCAAATATATATTGATGTAGGTCTTTCGGAAAGTGTGCGAAGCCTGTATATAAACTTCTAACTGTCGAGAATGTGGTTTCAGTACCAGAACAATATAATGCACACACATAAATATACACAATATATATATGTATATATATGTGTGTGTGTGTGAGCAATTGTATGCGTCGAAGAATATAAAAATCATGTACACGGACCTTTGAAGAAAAGGCAATTATAATGATTGTTTTCAAATTTTTTTTCAATTTTCCCATCCCTCATTTTAGCTTTTAATCTAATTAAATATGAATTAAATCCAACTAAATATGAATTACATGCTTATTTAAATATTTATAATTTTTCTACTTTTAGTGTATGCTTATATTCGATACACTGAATAAATAACGAAAAAAGTTTGACTTTAGGAGAAGAAATATAATTCGAAGTAAGGAAAGATATCGTTGGAATAAGTGTCCAATAAAATGTAACTATTTAAATACCTTTCGGGAAAATGAAATCTATAGGAAACACTTTTATCGTCGACAAAAATAAACGTTTAAATATGCAACTTTTTAAGGATTTAAGGTGCGATCACGCTAGTGAAATTTGCACGTTTACAAACGCACATGAAGGAAAACTGTGTTTCCCGTGGTGTAAAAGAATTGCACACCCAGAGAACTAGGAATTCAAGAAATTGGAAATTCTAGGATCCGGCATGTGTTTTGAGCTTACCTGGATGTTGGAATGCACTGGCTTTGATGCGCAACGCTAAACACGTACCGCGGAATTCATCTCACGAACGGAGGGAGCTTTATGGTGAGACGCGAGATAGAGAAGAAGCGTCGCGTTCCTCTTCTGTGTTCTTACGTAAACAAATCTTTAAGCTGGCCGACGCTGACGTGCGCTACGCATTTACAGAAAATGGTAAAATGTGATCTCGCAACCTGTGGCCCATGAAGCTACATTACATCTGTTAGTATCTTCAAAAATAAACGGAATAAAAATAGAAAACTACATAATTACAATATACAAAGTTACGTGAGTGTGTGAGATGCACTTTTTAAGGACACGCATGATTTCCGGGTAAGCGATGTCGCCATTGTAGAATTAAAGAAATGTTTCTTTCGTCATTTTCAGTAATTTAATGTTACACAAAATACTGTCTGTAATATAGATATAAAATTATATATTTTACGCTTCACTCAAATATCTCTTCTAATCCAGCGTAAAGTCTCATTGATTTATCGTAGATAAAGGAACACGTGTCTCATTCAAAAATATAAAAATAACAATTGTCTATTTATAAAATCATCTTGATCCTCTTTCGTTATTTGTGGAATCAATTTGACCTTATTGTAACAGTGACATACTGTTCACCCTCAAATTGGCGCTGTCAAAAAAATTCCTCTGAATAAATTCTATATCAACGGAATGCATTGTACGTCTTGGAGAAAGGGAACACGAAAATCGCGAAAGCGAGAGGAGCGAGCCCAGGAATGAGGAACGAGATCGTGTATTCTACGTCAGGGGTTCCAAGCACTGGAACGTGTACAAGGCAGATATGTATATGTGTGTGGGTGTGTGTTTCTCGCTCTGTGAAAGCTACGAAGATAACGATATTGAATCGCAATGTCTCGGACATCGTCGTTCGACCGTCGCGATCCGTTCGAATGCACCCGACTGACCCGCTTCCGGCATCGCCGGGGGAATCCCGGGAAATCCTGGCAGACGGAGGGTTGCTGCGATCGACTCTGACACCTTAGGCGTACCGTAGAACGAGAAATCAATTGGAGTCATACAGAGCGACCTCTGAGAAAATATTTTCCAACGTTCACTTTATCATACTCTGGGAGAAAAAGACAGTTAGCTACCCATTTCGGGGCCCACAATTGGTAATCGAATTATCTGGATTGCTAATCTTTTGCAAATTTTACCCCGCGTAACTAAAAATCGCAATTAGCCATTCTATCTGTATTCAAGATTTTCAAGCAATACTAATCGATTCTCTCAATTAGTTCTGCCGACATTCAGTAACGCAAAGATCATTTGCACTTAAGAGCCACTAACCGAAGTGTTAAGTTGCTTAACTACAAAAGAAACGGTCAAAATTCTTCCCAGAGTAGAATGTTACGAACAATCCAAACAATTCGATTACTAATTGTGGGCCTCTAAGTGAGTTGCTGTCTTTTTTCCCCCAGAGTATTTTTTTATATTTATTTCCCACGGTCCACCGTTTAAACCGCTAATCTGTGTCGGTCGCGGATCATACTAAAAGTATACTTTATAAGTCTATAAAATTTGCGTGCACTTCTGCCACACACGTTGTTTTAGAAAGAAACCATTCTTCCCGGTTTTGATGTAATTTAGTAATTTTCACGTAATTTGCATTTCAACGACAGCACTTTACTTCGTCTGCTACAACTATTACACAACTGCAACGGACAGCTTAAGTTGTGCTACGAGGGTAGCAGCGGCAGGTGCATCGTCTTTCGCCTTTAATAACCAATTCGTGCAGCCGTCAAGCTTTCGAACTTGCCACAAAAGCTCGATTGTTCCGTGGAACGTCGGAAGACGTAAGAACGAATTCGCGAATCTCTCGCGAGACTCCGCCAATCAAAAACTGCATAATATCGAGAATATTAAATTTCTCGCCCCATCCTCCCCGTACTCTTTTCCGTCTCCCGCTCCCGCGCTGCTGCTTCAAGTGCTTTTTTAAATATATGCCCAGAAAATATTGACGGCAGCTGAGTTTAATGTTGATTGGTCCACGTTCATAAATGAAACGTCAAAGAGAATTTGTAAAAAAGTTGTAGACTTTTAACGTTTTCTTTTAAATAATAACATATAATTAGACTTTTAAATCGTGTATACGTGAGTGCACGAGAGGAAAGATGCGAGACAACGTAGACTATTATTAAATATCTGAGCACCTGGGTTATTAAATATATAATTCTCGTCTGCGTTTTTAAATACGACTTAATTTTATTACGATCTAATAATACATCGGATATCAATTCATTATATATTTTTATATACCGAAGAGGTTAAAGAACCCATCATTTAGAATATCAGTAACAAAATTATTCCTAAAAATTCAGCATATTTTCGGTAGACAAACGTTCGTTTTAACTTTGCAGAATAAAAGATAAAGGAATTTTATTTGAATGATATTTAAACTGACCGATATGTTCATATACGTATATAAAGGTCGAATGTAAAGAGATTAATTTCTCGCGCAGCAAACAGCTGTGGCGAACGCAATAAATGTGTCGAAAGGCCGGGGCGTCCTGCAAGGCGATTGCGTCGGCATGCTGGGGGGACGATAGACGGCCGATTGAAATGCAAATGGTAGCGGTCGACGTTATTTTGGCCCCGGTCACGTGTACGTGTCGGCGAGTGCGCTTGTTTCAAATTCGATCGCGCCCTTTTCCCTGGGTGTCGCGACACGCAAACAAGCGGCGTCAACGTTACAAAAATCCCGCTATCAAGCCGCAACCAACACTGGCGTCACTGTCCGGCGTCGCCGTCGCGCCTGCAGATAAGCTCTAATTTCAATTAAAGCGCGTACGTGCGTCGCTATTTTATGCCTGCGACAATCTGCACTACGAATGTTAATGACAACAAAGATTAAAGACCTTATGCCAAAAAGTATCCGGAAAACAATTTTCCTTATATAATTATATATAGAATACGTCCACGTATGTTTCTCCTTCCCGCATAATCTCTATTCGTGTAAACAGAAAAATTACCCGAGTCGAAATTTTGGGACTATTTTCACACTTTTAAGGATAATTTACACTTACTTAGCTGATCTATATACCTACATAGGCCAGCAATAACTTACTTTGACATTATATTTTTTTACTCCTCCCTTGAATCTTTCATTCTAAAAATTTACTTTAGCCCCTACTTAAAAGGACCTACTGTAATGCTAAATTGGCAAAAGTAGAAATTTCCGATACAGTTTTAAAGTAGGAGTAAATTTTGTACATTTCGACCTCGTTTACTGCCTACTATACAGGGTGTACTAAAATCACCGGATATCCTTTTACTAACAGATCCTTTAGAAAATTTCAAGACGAAAATTCTAATACAAAAATGTCGAGGCTATAACAGTTTTTAAATAACAAGCGAGTATATTTCACCAATGATAGGCCTGAGATTTCGCGCGCTCAGGC